CGGGTGCCTTTTATTGGCATGCGCGTCGGTGTTTGCGTGTTCCAGTTCTGGCTGTGTTTAGCAATGTGTGGGGCACTGTGAGGGATTGAGGAATTAGAGGAGAGCACTAATCTGTGATAATCTCCTGTCTTTCGCACAGTGGGGTGTGAACTGGCCTTTCTCAGCCAGCAGCACCGTGCGCGCGCACGCACTCGTTCACGTGCAGTCGGAGAGGAGCTGGGCTGAGTGTCTCTAAATTTTCCCTGTGGATGGCTCCGTTCTGTGCTTTGTAGATGTTATAAGGGAGCTGGGAACTCTCCTGGCTTGGGATTTCAATCATGCTGGAAATTATGCCCCACTTTTAAAATTAGGGTTGCCACCTTCTTCCACAGTGAGTTCCCAGCAATGTGTCGCATGCACCTTGTCTTTATTTCTCCTGTGCTGTACGAGACTGATGGTGTTGTCCTGGGACTGTAGGGCACTGCTTCGCCTGATACTGCGCTGTGAATACGGGGTTATGCGTCGTTAGCCTGTGCAGGGCTGCTGTACTGTATTCGTGCGCTGTTCTACTGTACTCTTGCTCTGTAACTGTACTGTACAGGGCTGTGCTGTCTGTCATTATTCTCGTTTCATGTTATAAATGAGAGGAGCGCCTCGGAACTACTGCTTAATTGCCACCTAATTTGCATAACTGTGCAAATTAATGACCTCTCAAATGAGCATTCATTTTTCACAAGGTCTTTAGGAGCTCCTTAAGAGCCCAGTGTAATTAAAACAGGAGACAGGCAGGCATGCGGGCCCGCTGGCAGACTGTGAGAACCGGTGCCAGTGCCAGACGGGCACACCGCACGTGCACCCCGCGCTCGCTCTCTGGCCCCCCTCGCTCCCCCCCCGCCCCCCAACTGTGGGCGCGTGCGCAGGGATGGAAGTGTCGCGTGTGGTGCCTGCATCGCCCTTGCGTTGAACTGATTTCGTGGTGGGAGATGTGTGTTTTTAGTGCCGATTGCGTTCTCTCCCCGTTTGTAGATCGACAGGCATGAGTTGGAGCCGTGTGCGACGAGAGTCCACACCTCTCGCTTTGTTCCTCATTGCTTGGTGGCGGTGCCCCCACCCACTCCACGGCGGTCTGATCCGGTCCAGGTTTTGCCAACTGCTTGCTGTGCTAATGAATCGGGAGCATCATGGGATTTTGTTTTGGAAATCGGGGACAAAGGGGTTGTATTGTACCCCCAATTTAGATGTGGGTTCTCTCATGAGCAGGGTGGTGACCCTCATACGGTCACGGCGCTGGAGATCTCGCGTGTCTTCCCATCTTCCTCTGAAACGGTCACCGTGGCGGTACCCACAGCGCAGCTTCCTCCGATGGGAGGGGCGAGGAGCCGGTGGTGCTGGACTCGCTCGGGGGCACTCGCCACCTCAGATCTCTGATGTCTGGATTGTAGGGCTATCTCTGCGCCCCCGGATCGCTCCAGGAGCCCCTGGCGTTGACTGCTACAGCTGTTCCTCAGAAAGTCAGCCAGTGCGGTGCAAAGTTAAGGTGGGGAGCAGTAGGGAGACCTGTTAGGTGCTGAAGATTGCAAAGCGCCTTTCGGACTCTAGCCATGAGCTTATTGCAGCCAAGGAATCTGCTAAACTTAGAAGCGCATCAGCGAAGAGACTTAGCAGACTCTGTTTGCCAGCTGTAGAAGCCTTATGTGATTAGCGACAGCCTGGAGCCTGTCCTACGGGGCTTGATGTGGATGTTTCGGCTTATAGCCCCTTTAACGCCTCCGCGGGTCACGCCCAGCCCTCTCCTGTGTGGGACTGTCCACCCTGATCTGGCCTGGTGGAGGCTCTGCTGAGAGTCCACCCATTTGCTCTTGCGTCCGTGCCCCGTCGGCCAGCGCGGGCGGTACTTGCAGTGGCTGCCAGTCTCTCTGCGTCCAGCCTGTCCGTCCGTCTCTTAATCTCTGCCCTCGGCCTTGCTCACTTGAGATCTTGCTGCGTCTCGAACAGGGGATGAAAATTGTGCTTTTTCGTTTTTTTTTCCTAAAGGTCACTCTGTCCATCTCTAGCACTCTCTCTCTCTCTACTTCATTGTTTCTTTTGCTTAGCTCTCTGCCTCTCCTCCTCCTTTCATTACTTTTTTTTCCTCTTTCCTTCTCTCCCCTCTGCCTCTCGCCCCCGTCTCTGCCCCCAGTGAAAGGCAGTGAATACTCCAGGGAGCTGATGCAATTAAAATGCTAATCCTGTCTGTCTAGAGCGAGCAGGGAGACTGACAGCGTATGAGGGATTGCAGCTCACAGCCAGGGCCGGACTGAGAGGGAGAGAATAGAGGGAGCGAAGGGGGGAGGGGGCCGAGAGGCAGGCAGAGATGGAAAAGAGGATAGGACAAAAAGGAGGGGGTGAGTGAGAGCTAGGAGGAAGTAGGCAGGGGCAGGTGTACCACTGTGCTTCCTCACTGTACAGTACTGCACCGGCTCACCATGATGAAATGCACAGACTTGTGTGTCTAACTGTAGAATGCTGCAG